GGTGAAATGGTTTATCTTCGTCAGATGAGCAAGGTCAGACGTGGTCGTCCAAAATTTAGGCTTAGGTGGAGGGGCCCTTACAAGGTGGTACGTAGATTGTCCGATTTGAATTATCTTGTGCAAGTATCCCAAAAGAAGGAGCTGGTGGTAAATGTTAACAAAATGAAGAAATGTTGCGTGAAAACTGTCCCCACGCCAAGTGGGACAAGGTATATCGCGGTAAGGGTTCAGGAAAGAGACGAAGGTCAGGAGGAGGCGAATGATGAGGGAATAACTCCACTTGCCTCCCATGATCACGTGAAGGATGATGGTAGCTTCGCCTTTACGCCAACCACTTTGACAGGCGAGAGGACCGAGGATCGAAGTCAGGACCCCACCTGGGAACCCAGTAGACATCAGGAGGTCCAGAGAGCCACTGACAAGACACCCGACACCGGAAGGGAAACGGGGGCTAGGTACTGGTTANAGGAAAATTTAAATTATGAATTGTTTTGTTACTTAGACAATTAACTTTTTGTTTAATTACAGATGTAGGTGCACATTAAACAAGGGAAGGGGAAGTGATTCACACCATTCAAAAGCAATTAACCTATCTTAAATCCATAGATGATGCCATTTCCGAAAATGCTATGGGATTGGCAACCGTGACTCGCGTTCTTAAGAGTGTGATTACTAACGCTCTTACTTATCAGAAATCTGTTGAGGACGAAATTCAGAACTTGAAAACATTGATAAATTTTCAGGCAAATGTTTCACGCGTCATGCGCGAATTGGAATTTACGGTGATGCAGTTACAGCAATCGGTCATACAACTGCAAGAGGGGTTAAAAATCAGCGCCGCTGGAAGGCTATCTTCAGTTTTGATTCCTCTGCATAACTTATCCAAAATTTTACAAGAAGTTGCTTTGAGATTGCCGCAGGATGTTTCGCTAATAGCCGGTTTTACTGTGGAAAATATGTATGTGTACTATGAGGTTGCGACTGTGCAGGCATACGCTACCGCTACGACCATTCGTCTCATAGTACGCATCCCACTGAGAGGGGCCGACCGAGTTATGACCGTTTTTAAGAGTGTTCCTTTACCAACCTATTCAGATGTATTGGGAAGACACATTCAAATTGAACCAGAAGCACCTTATTTAGCAGTGACTGAAAACAGGCAGTACTACTCCCCTCTGGCGACAGCAGACTTGCAACAATGTAGGAAGGGGTCAGTTACTATTTGTGAAGCCACTTTTCCGTTTATACATAAGAATCAAGCGACTTGCGTTTCGGCTTTATACTTCGGCCAGACAGATTTTGCACATAAATTTTTTCGGAAGGTTATTTTAAATGAAAAATTTAACCCCGTATGGCTTCAGGCAAAAGGATTTCGCCCTTTTTGGATTTATAGTCTGCCCTCGCCAACTATTGTTACAAAGACATGTAAAGGGAATGGCACCACCAGAAGTTTTAATATTGAATTATCTCACACGGGCATACTAATGGATGATATTCATTGTCAGTTTTAATCTGAGGCCTTTATTCTGTTGCCAGTGTCGGATGGCTATACGAATGTGTCGATCATCAGGAACCAGGTTCTACCCCCACACCTGCCCGAGCTGATGTCGCCTGAGGAACGGCGCCAAATCACGCACGATGAGTTGCGGACACGCCGTGCACTTGCGGCCCTGGAGACCGTCGCGCGACAGAGTTCGCACGTCAACCAACAGCCCTATGTCGAGCTGAGAGATCTCCTAGACACGGTGTCTACTGATGGGGCTATGACGAGCCAAGTAACTTGGTTGTATATGTTGTTCGCCTTTGGCATTATCCTGCCATTTGTAATCCTCACCCTTAAATACTGGCGACGTTCTATAACTCTCCTGATCCGGAGAGTTCTCCCATGTACCACTGACCAACGACCATATGCGTCCCAGACAGCGAATCGACCGGCCACACGCAGAGTCCCAGCTATGGACTCAGGGGTGACCAATTGCTTTGGC